CCCCAAACCCTAAACCCCCAAACCCTAAACCCCCAAACCCTAAAACCCCCTAGCCCTAAACCCTAAAGCCCTAAAACCCCAAACCCTAAAGCCCTAAACCCCAAACCCCAAACCCCCAAGGGGCCCGGGCCGGCCGGGCCGGCATGGAAGCTCTGCGGCTCGGCTGACGGGCGGCAGGCTGCAAAGGGCCCTCCCGGATGGCCTGGCGTCGGGAGAGTGACAATTTGGGGGTTTGGGATTTAGGGTTTAGGGTTTAGGGTTTAAGGGTTAGGGCTTGGGGTTTAGGGTTTAGGGTTACCATAAGATGGATCTGTTTTTGGATAAGATGGCCTCCTTTTTATGGTATCTTGACCTCAACTCAAGAAGAACCTGTTTGTGGTCTTTGGTTCGGGGTTTTGGGGTGTCAAAGCCTTTTGGCCCTTCAAGCCCACAGCTTTCCTTACTTGATTCCTGTCCTCTTTGAATTTGGCTCGAAGGGCTTCACACGACTAGACCAGGTATTACCTTCCTACTCCCTTAGAGCATAGCTATAACAAGGAACCCTAAAGGAATAGGAACTGCTAAGTCTTCAGACCCCTTCATTGGATCCTCATGCGCTCTAAGATCCTCTAACCCCTCAATTGAAACACCAGAACATCAGAAAATATATAGACATGTGGACAGCTGGCTTTAAACCCCGAGCCCCAATGTCGATTGTTGTGCTCAGGGAGCTCGGGGGCTTTGATGCCTCGGGATCCTTTCGTCGGGTTCTTCGTTCAAGTTTTCTTGAATATGCTCAGCCACCACATGTTCTGAAGTGCAAGCAGGGCCTATTCGGGCTTTAGGGCTTAGCAGTTTAGCACAGCCTTTAGGGTTGAGGTTGCCGAAGCTTCAAGTCCAAGCTGTCCAAGACTTTGGCATGTCCGTTATTTTTGCTCCAGCGCAGGGGTTTGTCCCAAACTTTTCTTGGGTTGAAAGAGAAGGTCTATACATCAGGGTCTATATGCAGTCTAGACATGTGTCCACATGTGGAGCTGCTTCCATACCATCGCTGCTCGCATCCCGTAACATCTTTCTGTAGATCTTACCCTAAACTCAAAGCCCTGAAGTCATGCGCAAACTGCCTACGAACACATACTCGTCCACACACCATTCCAAGCCTGGAAATCTGGAGAAGGCAACACCGAAGCTGGCAGATCCAATGCATGCACTACCTACCTACCTACTTGCTTACCTACTTGCCTACCTACCTACCTACCGACCTACCTACCTACCTACCTGAAAATTATACATATGCATATATAGATATACACACACATGAACACAACTAAATACATACATCTATGTACGTTTATCATCTATATTGATATTTATACATATATGGATCTGGACAAAACCTGCCAGACGTGCAAGCAAGCATACAGACTAGGCACTTGTATTGACACTCGTGGTACATACATAGGCAAATTTGCAGGGTGCTGGACAAACATAAGGACCGACAGACGATGAATGGGTAGGCCAGGAGGCAGGAAGGTGGATGGGTGGGTGGGTGAGTGGGTAGGTGGGCTGGCTGGCAAGTCGTGCTGGAGAGACAAATGGACAGGTATGTACGTAGGAAAAGACGGGAAAACAGATACTGCCACTAAGATATTGCAATATATTCTGGTATAGAAGGGTTTCTTACAGTATCTGATAGTTCATGCTACTGTATTAATATTACTCTCCACTTCGTCCAACTGTTTCTTTTATATGCGTATGTATGTAGAAAGCGGCCATACTCCTGTGCGAAAAGGTGCAAGAGTGCTAAATTGGTTCTACATTCGATATTCTATCTTCTATGGTCTATGACAGTTCTGGGTTTAGGGTTTAAGGATGAGGGTCTGAAAAAAACGCTTATATAGTATCTATTCTATCTACATGTGTATACATACATACATATATATATATACCTACCTACCTACCTACCTACCTACCTACCTACCTACCTACATACATACACAGTAAGCCTCCTTGTCAGTGGCAGACGGTGGATGGAAAGGATCTGCTGCTCTTCCGAGCTCTTGGTCGGACTTCAAAAACAAGCATGTACCGCAGCCGTCCAGCAATCCCGGACGGTGCAGCATGAATATCTCGCCACCAAAACGGGCTAATATAGGGGCCTTTAAAATCCCCAGACAATAAGAGTATATTATTTCCCTAAAACCCTATATACACACTCTAGTTATTCCGACCCCCATATTATTCCAAGAAAAAGACCTCCGCTCTGCCTTTCGAGGTGAAAGGCGCCCCATGCCCTCCAGGCACGGCAGCCAACGCTAATGGCCGACAATTGGTGTGTAAAACGCCGAGGGCAATTGGTGGGTATTGGGTTGAGGGTCTAGCGAGTCGCGGACTACAAAGGCAGGGGCGGTCTGCATGATTTCGCGACACCCACTTGCGGCCATCAGCATAGGCAGACGGAACTTCCACAAAGCATGTACGGACGAGCTGCTAGTACGGTCTCGTCTTTCCGCGCACTTGAACCTTCCCGGCCCGACCCAACTGAGTCTGCCCAAGCTCGTTTCGTTCTTCCACATGACTACGAATATTGCGTATTTTGCCTCAGGGCATGTGCAGCTGATGACAGCTGATGGAGGATCAAGGCAAGCCCACATCAATAAACAGTTCTCTCCAAGTCAACGTCCCATGTTCTTGATGGCTTGGAACGACGACTCGGAGACTAGACAAATCGCCAAATGTTCAGATCTTGCCGCACAGACGTGTGTCGGCCTTGCAAAAATAACTCGAAGTTGAATTCAACATAAAGTCTTCACGGGGCGAGCTCAACACGTGCCACACTGCCTCAACAGTTGTGGAACCTCTTGCTAGATGCAACACTGCGACAGGGACGACTTCAATGTATTGACCCACACTACAGGCAATGCACTCACAAGCCACGATCTCGATTCTTTTCACTGCCCACGTGGCCGTAATTCCGGGCCCGCCCTGGTAGTGCCCGACGCGCACGCTCTCCGAGCGTGCGATATAGGCAGGTGCTAACTTCGTGCCCTTTGCACTGGGATGTGCGGGTTCAAGTTAACTTTCCCATGAGGGTTTGGGTTGCCACAGAAATTAACAAAAACGCATGGAACTCCCTGCAATGCATCAGATCAAGCCTTGGGTTCAGGGTACTGCATCCAACTACCTCCCCTTCCCCCCCTCACCTTCCCAAACAGCTACACTACTCGACAAAGAAGCAGACACTCGGTGTTCCCTTGGTTAGGTGCGGTTAGGTATTGGTTGGTACAACTCCGGCTCTCTGTTTGCAATCGATTCGTGACAATACTTCGGACCAGAAGTGTAAACATTGGCAGAACCGGCGAGCATTCAGCCACACGCACCCTTCCACCATCAACTTCCCACACCACCACCGAACAACCGCGCTGATGCGCAACGCTTACGAATTCAAACCCCTGAGCACATGCTGAACCCCGACACAAAGCCAGGCTTCAGCTTTTAGAGGGTGGCACCGGTGCCACCGACCCGCGTGATACGTACACACGCATGCACAAAACGAAAGATGCTATCTGTCTGCAGACAGCAGACGTTTACAGCCAGCAAGATACACCACAGACGATGGCATAAACCCTAAACCCTAAACCCTAAACGAATGGACAGGCACGGGGAAACAGTGCTCGCGCAACCAGGCATGGGATTTCTGTCTCCACCTATATTGTCAAGCAGGGACTCGACTTACAAGTTTCTGGGGAAGAAAGGGGCTTAAATAATTACCCATACTATTTTGGGGTGTTCCTTGTTTGTAAAGAATAGTATATATTGGGCCCCAAGGCCCTATTCTGAAGGCCCCGACATTCAGCCCTAAACCCGAAACCCGTGGAATTGGGGCTTCCGGGTCTCGGGGCTTGCAGGAAAAGGGACACGAAGCTGTCGGCGACAGTTCATCGGGCTCTTGTTCAGGATATATGGGAGTTTCCGAAAACAAGGGGCACCTTATTCTAGGGTCCTTATAATAAGAATCCTACTATTTAGGGTACTATATTAGGTCCCCTATTTTCGGAAACCCCCATATGGTAAACTCCTTACGATGGTGCCTCAAATCAAACACTCTTCAACAAGAGCCCAGTTGACGTGGCGGATATTCCGCTGCCATGGCATCCTAAGTGTATCAGCTTCGGAGCTGCTAAACGATGCCTGTCTGGAGCTTAGGGTTTAAGGCTTCAGGGTTTTAGGGCTTAGGGTTTTAGGGTTTAGGGTTTTAGGGTCTAGGGTTGCTGACCCAAGAGTAATCAGTATCTTGACTCGGAATACAATGCTTCTTGGATGGTCGATACAGTAGGGGAAGCCTTTGACTACGAGCTTGGACCCGATCGAGCCAGCTCTGGTCGTGAACCGATTGACAAGAAGACTCCCACCTATTAGAGCACATTCTAGAGTAATTCAATATATTATGGTTGGCAATGGTATGTTCCGGCCAGCTGTTATATGTGGGAACGTAGGCCATGAGCATGCCTATCTACGCATCTACCCATCTGGGAACGAATTTATCTGTTCAACTAGCCTTTGTTTGCTAGAAAAATGAACGAACTTACCTATCTTTAAAACTGGCATGTGTCTAGAATTGTACCTAGCTGAAAACAACTTCGCGGAAATTGTGTAATGTCTCTCCACACTTCCATGTTGCTGCATCCATGGAAGACACTTTCCGTGCTTCCCTGTGCAGAAACCATAGACTCGCAAAGAACCTGGCTCACTTACTTACTTACTCACTGACTTAATTACATGCATATACGTGTGTACAAACATGTGCTTAAACTGTTCTGTCGCTTTATCTACGTGCTTTCTATGTCTTTGATGTCTTTACTTGCTTGGTCTTAACTTTACTTTTATGCATGTAAGCAACTGTGGACAGAAGTACATGCTTTTGGGAACCAAAACTTCTGCCGTTGGGAAACTGCGTAGCTCGATACAGAACTAGATAGAGGTATGTCTAGCTGTATAGGCTGTACCAGCGGATCCGAAGCTTAGCTGATCGTGCAGCATGCTTGCTCGCTGCCCAGCATCTGCCTTTGGAGCCAGTCGTGCTCCATTGCGGCAGCTGCTGTGGGACGGCCCTGCGACTCCAGCGATAGCATGCTCTGCGCAAGGTCCAGCGCTCCGGAGCCCTGGAGTTTCCAGGCTTCCGTGCTTTTCAAACTCAAGGGTGTCTGTTCTAGGAGCTCATTGAAATGGTTCTCCTTGGTGTCCGTATCCCTCCATAGCCGCTGCCCCGTGACAATCTGGTAGAAAGTCACTCCGATGCTCCACACATCACAAAGCTCTGAGTAGCGTCCCTGGACTACCTCCGGGGACATGAAACCGGGAGTACCACAACATTTGGTCAAAAACTCCCCTTGGAGTTCTGTGGCCAAGTTGAAGTCTGCCAGCTTGAGCTGCGGGAATTGAACGCCTTTCGTCACAAGAAGCACGTTCTGGGGTTTGATGTCGCGATGCGCAATGCAGTAGAAGTGGAGGTACCGCACAGGGTCAAGGATTTGCCACAGGAGCTTTCCAATCTGCTTCGATGAAGGGCGCTGGTACACTTCCTGCAACAGAATGAGGGTAGCCCTGAATTGTCCACATTTCACTACCTACAGGTCAAGAAACCGTCCTTGCTGGTGTTTACCACAATATATTCCGTGTAACTAGGTGAACTCTGATACTTACAAACACATCGATCCATCCATCCATCCATCCATGAACCCATCCATCCATCATCCATTCATCCAAACGTACATACAGAAAGACAGACAGACAGACAAACATGTGTATGTTTATATATGTATGTGTATGTATTTATACATACTATATTGTATATATGTGTGTGTATGTGTATGTATATATATATATGTATACATAGGTA